AGAGGAGGTCGTGTCCCTGTGTTCTTGATCTTGATTTCATATTGAAAATCGTGCCCTGTTGAACCTTATTCACCCCCTTGAAGTATTTAAAGGTTTCAATCAATGTCTTCCCTCTAGAAGGGAATCTGTTTAGAGCCTTATCTAGACATCATTTGCTGATTGATCCCGTTGGTTTTCATCTGAGACTTGGACATAGGACTACTATATTTCTTGTATGAAAAAAAAAAAAAAAAGCATTATACGTACGTATATATACTGTATATGCCAGCTGTAAATTTGTGAAAGCGATGAATAATTGATAACAAGAAAGTACAAATGAGACTGTGATATCAAACAAGTAGAAACAAAATCTAATTTTCAGCATTTATTTTATGCAAATCATTACAAATGCACGCTCTGTTTAAAGAGTTATGATAATCACACTTTAAATGCAGATGATATTTATCAAACTGCTTGCCGATTATTCATCCCTTCGTCTTGCACAGTTAGGTTCTTATTAAAGCATGAATTTAACATGAAATGGGAGACAATAGTCTATAAATTATCATTATGAGTTCAGTCTTGAGTTACGTTCTGCAGCTGAGGAACCCCTATACAATATAAAAACCTGGTAATATATCACTAAGTAGAAAATTATGGCAAAGGCTTAAACTAAACAGCTCTAAATTATATGCTACTATTAAAGAAAATCGATCCCCCAATAAAGCATTTTGACATGAACAAGTCCCCTGGTTAGAAAAAACAATGCCAAGTATGTATGTTGTTCAGCTGAATTTCATAATGTAACAATAAATTCAGCATAAAGGTTGTCACTTTAAAAAAATATTTTCAGCGCCCAAGCACAGAGAAGGGTGAGAAGTAGCCAAGTAGTTCAAGTTTGTCTCTAGCAGGATCTAGCAGGTTCGAAATTTATGGTCTTGGCTAATTAAAGAGGACATTTTTTTAGTTACATTTAGCGCTCATGTACACTGCAGCTGCTAAACTGATGTTCAGGGGCTGTTGAGCTTTTTTTTCAGCAGCCCCTGAACTCTCCCTAATGTTTTTCCTATGTGTCCTATAGTCATTTACAGTAGTTTACAGGCAGTTGAATTTACAGTCGTTTTCTTGAAGGCACCAAAAATTCATTCAGGAGTAGATTTTACCAGCGTTTCAAACGCCAAACACTTGAAAACACGTGTAAACTCTTGTAAACGCGGTTAACCGGGTTTGCGTTTAGACGCGTTTTTGACAGGTCTGAAATAGTTAATTATTTACTATTTTTCAGTGCATTCTGGGCATTTGGGAGGGTCTTCTGAGGTTATCTTTTAAAAACATTTTCTAAATGCAAATGCGCATAAATGCGGTATGCAAATGCGGATAACTGACATTTTTTAACCTACGTTTTCTAGCAGTCAGTTTCCAGCGGTCATAAGAGTTTTCCAAACGCCCCGTGTACATGAGCCCAGTTGCTATATTATTATTATTATTCTTCAGGATTTATATAGCGCCAACAGTTTGCTCAGCGCTTTACAATATAACGGGAGACAATACAGCAACAATACCGTTCAATAAAAGAGGGTTAGAAGGAGCTTACAATCTAAGAGGGAGGGGCTGGTGGTACAAAATATAAAGCTATACTGTCCTGTGTTGTGCTATATTACTGTTAATTTTCAGTACGATGGGCTACATGTTCTTCCTATTTTGCTCCTGCAATAACACTGGGCAGCACAGTGGCTTAATGGTTAGCATTTCCGCCTGGCAGTACTAGGGTCGCTGGTTCAAATCCCAACCATGGTACCTCCTGCCTAGAATTTGCATGTTCTCCTATGCCTGCATGGGTTTTCCTTCGGGTACTCTGGTTTCCTCCCACACTCCAAAGACATGCTGGTAGGTTAATTGATTCCTATCTAAATTGGCCCTAGTATGTGAATGTAAGTTAGGGAACTTAGATTGTACACCCCTTGAGGGTTAGGGACAGATGTGAATGTACAATATATATGTAAAGCACTGTGTAAATTGATGGTGCTAAATAAGCACCTGTAATAAATAATAACACACACACAATCTGTCCAGTCCTTTTTTATTGAGTTTTTTTTTCTTTTTTTTTATCTTTATCTTATCTGTAAACAAAAAGAAAAGTTGACTGTGTGTTGAGGGTTTTGGGTATTTTTTTAAATTTATTTTTACTATGTTTTTTTTTATTTCTTTTTTTTTTATTTTCATACACCTGCCGGCACTGACAAAGCTGTCCTTTATTTGCTGCACATCGCCACATGTGCGCTAAAGTAGAATGCACCAAAACTTAATTGCCATAGATGCTATTAAATTTAGGCAAGCCCCTTTACTAAAAATATAAGGCAGGCCAAAAGGAAGAGGCATAGGTTCTGTATGTGAAAGTAGTAGACTAGAGGGTGAGAAAGTAGTAGAGTAGAGGATGAAGAAAGTTGTGCAGGACAAAGCTTTGGTCAGGCCACACTATCTAAAGGCAGGGTATATCTGTTTGTCCTGTCTCAGAGTGGCTGTGCTATACAGCCACAGCACACCCATCAGAGCTGATGCCCTTAGCTTACAAACAGAACGGAGCGTCCAGGAGCTGTCATTTTGCTGGCAAATTAAACACACTTTTTCTTTGTAAATATCAGGGCATCCCCTGGGTATGTTTTTTAAAGGAGTTTGTCATTTTTAACCGCTTGCCGACCCCCCACAGTACATTTACTGTGGCAGGTCGACTTGTACAGGCACAATCACGTACCTGTACGTCACAACTTTCTGGAACCCAGAAGACTGTGTTGTCATTAGCTGCAGCATAAGATGACCAGTAGGTCCCAGCAAATGATTTATGACTGATTGGCTTAGGGAATGACAGAAGAGAGCCCTGTGTTGGTAAACAATACAGGTCTCTCTTCAGACACCAAAGCAGAGAGTAAAAAACGGCACGTTGCTTAGTAAAACAGCACACAGTACATGCAGCAAACATTGTTAGGCACACATTAAACCCCTTGATCGTCCTAGATATTAACCCCTTCCCAGACGGTGTCATTAGTACAGTGACAGTCGCACTAGTCCCACTGTATTATAGATGTCAGTGGCATTTAGTCAGTTCCCCCCCCAATGCCAGTTAGCGGCAGATTGCCTTCCGCACCAGTCCCACTATAAGTCACTGATTACCGTCATTACTAGTATATAAAAAAAAAATTTAATTCCAGTATCAATACCATAGTTTGTAGATGCTATAACTTTCATGCAAACCAATAAATATACACTTATGAAGAAATTAGATTTTTAAATTTTTTTAATGGATGTTTTATAGCATAAAGTAGAAAATATTGGGGTTTTTTTCAACATTTTGGGTCTTTTATCATTTTTGGCACACAAAATAAACCCAGTGGCTATTAAATACCACCAAAAGAAAGCTCTATTTGTGTGAAAAAATATTATTTAAATTGCGCTTGTGTACAGCATTGCATGACCACGCAATTACCAGTTAAGTAGCGCAGTGCTGAACGTCAAAAAATGGCCTGGTTATGAAGGAGATAAAATTTTCCGGAGCTCAAGTACATATCCCCCAGGACAGTGCCCAGCCCTCCACATCTTTTTTTTTTTTTACAATCCCTAATAGCCCAGAAAGTGCCTAGAATTGTTTTCCTAACAGTTCCCAATAGCTAATTTAAGGTTTGGATTCAGCACCGGAACTTTAGTAATGTTGGCCAAACCCTGCTCAAACCGAACCCAGGTGCATTTAGCTCATTGACTGGTAACTAAATGTAACATTACATATCTAACAACACTTTAAGAACCTTGTATAATATATTTTGATTTTTATTAAAAAACAAACAAGGCTGAAGTAATTATTTAAATGAAAATTTGAGCCTGAAAGAAGCTGCATGGCCCATTCACAAATTGCATAAGGGCAGCCCAATTATTTGAATGGATTGGTCAATGTACCACAATGGACCAAAATTGTGCGTACGGTATTTCTCACAGCACAGTGCACCACATTGCACATTATTGTAAAGGTTTGCAAAGGAAGAAAACAAAAGATACTTTATGCTTGCCCTAAGGTCTCTAGATATGCTAAATACCAAGACCTCCAATATAAATTACTGAACAAATGGTATCTGCTACCCCCCCCCAAAAAAATGGCTATATTGAACACACATTTAAATATCACCCGCCAAGATAAAATTTTGCACATTATTCTTAGAAAGTTATATGGCTCTTGTGTTTTCAAATAAAAATATGCTGACAAGAAATGTTTGATACAATTACAAAAAATTTAGATTGGCATTATTCATTAGACGAAACATGACAAACCCAATAAACTCAATTGGTAATGGCCAAATCTTTGATTGCTAAAAATATTTGAAATTATTTATCTCCATCATATACAGAATTGTTGAACACCTTAAAGCAGAACTATGACCAAATTAAAAATATGACATATATTATGTAACCAGTCAATAGCATTAACACAGCAGCCCATGGTTTCCTGAGTTCCCCCTAACATAGTTTACTATGTGTTTATCCTACGAGTCAGTATCAGGGGCGGACTGACCATTTGGAAACTCGGGCACTGGCCGAGGGCCCGGGGTCATTAGGGGGCCCCATCCATGAGATGCCCCTGGTACCTTTTTCATAGGCTTTTTTGAGTTTGGGCAAGTACACAGGGGCCCCATGATCCCCTATTACCCCGGGGTCCCATGAGTTGTCAGTCCACCCCTGGTCAGTATGTTGTTTTTTCAACTTCCTTTAATTCATTTCGATAAAACGTTTATTTCAAAAGAAACAAAGTTTCTGTAATTGTTTAAAAAGTGTTAGCTATATAGTTACATAGTTACAAAGTTAGTCTAGCTGAAAAAAGACAAAAGTCCATCCAGTTCAACCATAGAAAAAAAAAAAAGTTACCCTATACCCACAGTTGATTCAAAGGAAGGCAAAAAAAATCCCCCAGCAAAACACGAACTATAGTTTGGCTTCAATTTGTTACTCACTTCTGTAAAGTCATTTTGGATCTATAAGTCCATTTGACACTACAATCTGCAGTGGTGCTGTCCTAGGGTGGCTAAAGCTGCTCCACTTTAGATGCAGTGAAGGTGTGAGCAGGGGTGGACTGACAACTCATGGGGCACCCTGGGCAATAGGGGATCATGGGGCTCTGTGTCCTTGCCCACACTCAAAACACACCCAAAAAGGCCTATAAAAGGTACCAGGGGCATTTTGTGGGGCCCCCTACTGACCCCGGGTCCTCGGGCAGTGCCCGAGTGCTCAAATGGTCAGTCCGCCCCTGGGTGTGAGTGTAGCCATCCTAAGGCAGGAAATATGTTACTGGCTGGATCACCAAATGAAAATAAAATGGGAAAAAACTAAAAGAAAAATAATGCAGTTACCACATACGTATATGGAGACCACATATATGGATTGGTAGGCTGCAATATATTACAGTTTTGTTTTGGGTTTAGAAGACTATATAAAAATGAAAAGACAAAATTATTTACAAATAAAAAATATAAACCCTTTACTTTTTTTTTTACGTAGCCCTATCATAACTATATAAAAGATTGTGATTTTTTTATGTTCAATCATACTTTTATAAAACATCTGGATTATTTATATCAATGCAAATGTGGGGTATTATATAATTCCTAAATCCCTTTTTCACTTTGTCCTTTTTTGCAATATGGTTCCGTTGTAAATATATGTTATTTCCCAACCTGCTTTGAGGTTTGTATTTCTATATATTGTTTGGAAGTAAATAGATTGTATATTCTTTTTTTTTCTACTCTATTGTACAAAAATTTTAGATAAACAGCCAATGTCATTATGAATTATCTTTAGTGTAAAGAAGAACAAGAAGAACAAGGAGTCCTGGAGGTGCTGGTTGGGCCCTGATCTCAACATCACTAAGTCTTTCTGAGATTAGGAGAAGAGACAGAAGGATTGTAGAAAATACTGTACATACATTGTGATACAACAATAAAGTCCAAACACATATGAATATAGAAATGATGCTATTAAAAGTAATAATATAAAAAAATTCAATCCATTCATCCACTGTGTAAGAATCCCCAACAGTGCAATCACTTTGCAATGTCTGCACTACCTTTGTGCCATAGTACTTAAAACACAGCACACTTGCCAGATTTCATGAGCATTTGTATCAGAAGAGACTCTTACTGCCTGAAGAAAAAACACAGATCCAAGTCAGTTCCGCTCAACTCCACCACTAACATGCTATCCAGGTTCTGGCCCAGCTTGCAGTTGATATAGATAATGGAAAAGAAAGTCAAGTTGGCTGCACTTCTGGAATCCCCGGGGTTGATTTACTAAAACTGGAGAGTGCACCATCTGGTGCACTTGAGCATGGTAGCCAATCAGCTTATATATTTAACTTGTTCAATTAAGCTTTGACAAAAAAAACTGGAAACTGATTTTTATGTAGAAATGCACCAGATTTTGCACTGGCCGGTTTTAGTAAATCAGCCATACCTTTATGAGAAATCCTCCATAAAATCAAAGGTGGTTCACGATATAAGAAGAAGAGGGAATATAATCTGGCTAACATGTTTTGCAGTATAAATATACTGAATAAACTGATTAAGTGCTAGTTCTTTGCAAAACATGTTAGCCAGCTTCTATTCCCTTCACCGTTTCTATTATGTATTGCTTTTGATTTTATGGATTATTTCTAATAAAGGTGCCTCCAGTAGTGTGGCCATCTGGACCTTTTTTCTCAAATGTTTACTGGCTACTGAGGGAGTCTCATTGAACAGTGAAAAACAGTTGGCAATGTATAGCCATGAAATCAAAGAAAGTCAGGCTCCAGTAATTAGAAGAAACAAAATCAGAGGGTGGCATCTTATAGTATTTGCTTCTAGACAGTATTTTTAAACATCTAAAAATGGAGAACAATATTACCCTATTGTTTATAAAAGCTGTAAAACTTTAATGTCTATGGTGCTTCAAAACATTGGGTTGATGATTCCCACAGAATTAGTAAACTCTAAACTAGTAATATGTTCCCACATAACTAAATATCTTATATGCAATACCATACCCCCCAATTGTCCATACATCCAAATTGTTCTGAAATCCACTGAATTGTCTCAGGATTGCAACAAAATTCTGGTGTTTTTGTAGATCTGGGCTGTGTTCCATAGTCAAGTGCTGAAGCACTTGTTCAGACATTTGGTTTTTGTCGCCAGCAACATTCAGACCTCAGATATAGTGCAGCTCAGAGCAGAAGGGGGCCCTAGGTTCCTGCTTGGGTTTGTACATCACATGACAAGTCGAAGGGGAGCCTGAGACTTCCCCTCACATTGCATTGGGCTCCACTCATTATCTGAGCCTGAGGGGTCTGCATGGAAAATAATTTACAGCAGAACATGACTTTATTATTAGAATAATAATAAGAGTTCAGATAGATTTTATGTTTATGGGTACGCTTAAGTCTCGGTTCACACTACTGCGACCTGAAAGTCGCGCAACTACTGCGACTTTGCCAGGCAACTTGAGTACTACTTTGAAGCAACTCTGAAGCAACTCTGAAGCAACTCTGAAGAAGCTTTCATGGAATGCCTGGGTAATCTTCCTGTAATGTTGCATCCAAATCACATCAATATAGATGAGGATCCAACTTAGAGGCAACTTCCATTAAAGTCTATGGGCACAAGTCGGATAGGAGTCGCCTTGAAGTAGTACAGGAACCTTTTCTGCAGTGCTAATTAAAACTCATTGACTAACATGGGATTTCACATGTATTGTGACTTGGGGTCTCACAAGTCGAATCCCAAATCACAGCAATGTGAACCGAGTCTTAAAGTGATACTGAACTCTACCCTCTATTGCTCTCTGCCTCCTCCAAATCTGCAAATTCCTTTTTTTACTGCTGTGATCCCACTTCCAGTTAGAGGGTGACTACATTCGTTCTTCATGGTCCCACTGTATGTAGAAACATAGCCTCCTTCTCTTGCTCACTCCACAGATGGACTAGAAGCCATGGAATATGGGATGTGTAGTGTGCATAGTTTAGTGCACATAACCACAATTAACATGCACTGCTCAATCCAAAGAAACAGAAGTGAAGAGCAAAAGGAGAGGTTTGGGAGGTCATCTGGGACATTACAAGGAGTCAGAAAAACGCAACAAGAAATTATTTAACCTCCTCGGCGGTATGATTCTTTCCGATTTTTTGTGCTGAAAGCGGTAGGTACCATTTTTTTGCATGGAAATATGTAGTTTTTTATTGTAGGCTGTAATTTTTAGGAATAACTCACTGAAATCTGTACGAACAAGAGTCTAGTAAACATTCCGGATATGATAAAACTTGAAACACGAAATCATAAATTATAATTTAATAAAATAATAATATAATAATAATATATTTAATTAAATAATATAATCAAACCAAAAACACTGAAATTTGAAATACAGAGGCAAATTCGCACATCACTGAGCAAAGTCGCAAAATCGTTTTCAGTGTCTGATGACGAATTTCCCCACGAATCATTATCACTCAATTCTGCAAGTGGTTCTGATTTACTATCGCTGTTCTAAAACCGCTTTTGACGTAAAGGGACGCTTTTTGGACGCCATGGACTTTTCTCAGTTTCCAGGCAGAAAGAACATTCAAAATGCAGGCAGGGCACAGGACAAAGCAGTAGGGACAAAATATATGTGAAATGCATTGAAACAGCAATGACAGCAAAAATGACATTTTTTAAAAATTTAAAATTTCCCGCCGCTTCCGGCGCCCATACGTCCCGACGTCACAGGCACCGGAACACGGAAGCCGGGTGCCAGCATCGGCCGGAGGAGATGGCCGGGGACGCTGCAGGGGACACATCGCGGGAGCAAAGGACAAGGTAAGTGCTGCAGGGAATCCCTGAGCAACGCTGCATGGTAAGCCCGAGTGTAGCTCGGGGTTACCGCTCTTGGTATTGAAATTTTACCCTGAGCTACACTCGGGAAAACCGCTATGGAGGTTAATGAAGAAAAGATTAAGTAGTGGATGTGTAGCGATTATTACTGGAGAATAAAGATGTTATCTAGTGTCACTTTAAAGGAAATGTTCATATGTAGAAATTGATTGTTTCACAAATAAGGCATTTTCCACCTTGTAGGAAAATTTCTGTTAGAATTTAGCTGATTCTTCCGCATACTCACTAAGAAGTTGGAAAGAATTAATGAACCCTACATGTGCCATTTTAATCCACTTCACAGGTAACAGTGGCCATTGATCCTTGGGTTCTAACAGACTGTATTACTGCATTATTTGTGCTGATGGATATGCACCTCTGTAACACTCTCATCTGTGCTACTGTAATAAAGGAGTATTTTGTGAGCACAAGGACTGAAGTATACATGTTTGGTGTATACTGTTTGTAGGCTTCAGCCAAGCCCCATATTAAACTGTAATTTAACCTTGCGCACTTTTCTGTGCTATGTGTGTAACTTATTCTCATCCCTGAAGTGTCCTTCATTCTCAGTCTAAAGTTGAGAGGTATGGCAATATTATCTTCAGTTTTATATTTTACATTTTATTGTCATTAATATTTTTATGGTGAAATTTGACATCAATGAAACCACAAGAAAAAAAGAAGAATATATAAATGGGTATAGAAATCCTAACAAAAATAATAATAATTTAAAACACTCCGTTGATGATATCTCTTGAACTAATTCTCTTCTAGCCAACTGACTACTGCATATATACGATCCGATTTAATAATGAAACCTTAAATTAAATATTGAATTATCTGCATTTTGTTTAGCTTAACACTTGAGCACAATAAAATAAACATTCCCCAGTAAACTATGTGTTAAATTCTTACCCCAGCACTAGCAGTTTACAAGTTTCAATGCTGCTGGCTCCCGATATCTTGTTGCTGCTTCCCTGAAATTCTAATCTTCGTAGGAAACAGCTAAAAGACAAGTATGGGCTTTTAACCCCCCCTCCCCGCCCCCCATTATACCTACCTATGTGGATGCAGCATCGATCTGAGAATGATTACTCAGCTGATCGCTGATTTCTCACAGCCGCTCTGAGCAGAGAGCGGTGACTTTCAGTCACCGTTCTCTGCTCTGCCCC